TTGCAGCCTGGATATTAGCAAACAGAGATGAGTCTCTTCAACTGTACATAAACCCCTTCGCTTCCTGCAAAAGAAAAGCCTTGGTGTAATCCTACAATGCTTGGATACTAAAAATATCGTGATTATTTGGGCAAAGAAATGACTGGAGAGGAAAAGGAACATCTGTGAATGGCAGCAAATAAATTAGAGAGGGAATTAGAAAGCACATGTGTATGGGAGATTCATAGATCATATGAAGTAGCATATAGTCAAGGACTCTTCAGCACCTCATTTCTCCAGAGGGGTTCTGCAATGCTCAGCAACACCAGTCAAGCTCCTGTTGAGATCACATGTGGAAGAGGAAGGCTATCCCTCCAAGAAGTATATCTAGCCCAATTCAACCCAGTTCAATAACCCAAATCAAATACAAAGAGAAGGTCTTAGAGAAACGGAACACTGCCAGACCTGCAAGGGAAATAAATTGTTTTCACTACATAGAGACGCCTGCCTAAGCCATTTTGGGTCAAATCAGATCAATCCAGAACACTTACAAGCTCCTCTGCTGTCCCTGCACTTGCCAGAAAAAGCTGCAATAATAAAAATTCTAGTGTTTCTGGCATTAGCTCATCCATCCTCTTACTATTCATCTACACTGCCTCCACAGATCACATCTGTCAAGTATTTGCCACAGGGGAAGCTCTGGCAGATGTAGCATCTTCTGCTACGACTCTGCTGTTCCCTGCACTCCTGCCCCAAGACCTCTCCTTCCCTGTGGAACACAGCCTTCCTGCAATGTGTCCTCTGCTGCTGCAGCCAAGGCTGCCTCCTTTTCTACAAGGCTGCTATTCATCCCCTCTGCAGAGCCCCAGGCAAAAAAGCTCTCACACTCTGCCCACGTTACCCCCAAAAGGTAATCCTGAATCCACATGCAGAGATCTGTCTCCTGACCCTCTTCCCAGGCTGTGTCAATCCACCTCTCACTGGCAGCCCTCAGTTCTGAGAAGAATCACAGAATCATAAGTCAAAGAGACACTTTAGGAAATTCTTAAATGAAAACCACCACATTCCAGTAACATTCCAGAAATATTTCAGTAACAAGTACTCAGATGCAGCCATCACTGATTTAAAAACAGCACCATCACCCACACAGGAGCTGTCTGATGACTGCCACATACTCATTAACTGGAACATATTTGCATGAAGGTTACAAAACAGGTAAAGAAAAGAGACAATGGTGAAACAGTAATAGTAATAAGCAATGCTTCCAAGTACAGAGGGGTAGAACCACCCTCTGAGTCAAAACTTTAAACGTGGAAGGGTCTTTCTTTTCAAAGACCACGCCAACGAGTTATCTGGGGCAATCTCAGATCTGGGGAGTGAAGCAGCAAGTGCTGTAGGAGCTGTCCCTGATCCAGCTAGAACACCCACTCAGAGTCCCAAAGCAAAGAAGCTCTCAGCCCACACTGACACCCAAGTGACAGACCTCAGGTGGCAGGAAGGAGCCACTGCTGGGTGCTAGAAAGTAAAGTACTTGCAGATGTGCCACAAACACACATCTGAAGAACACAGTCCACAAACAGGGAGGGCCCTTTCAGGGACAAATGGTGAAGTGCCTCTCAGCTGAAAGCTGTTCATTATTAATAAAATCTTCAGTCATCTTGCATCTAACAGGTAAAGACAATGGGAAAAAGGATCAGCCTCATTTGAACAGATACTGTGCAATAATGTATGTAATTTGCATTAGGGTTTTTTCCCTGCTAATATGCACTATTACAGTAGAATAAAATGAGCACTTGTGCTAAGACAAAACATTCTTTACAGACTGACTGGCAGTCCTGAAGGTACAAAAAGGAGAATGTGAGACCATAGCAATATGGAAAAAAGGATCTAATTTGAACAATCTTCACTTTCAACAATCAAAACCCCCATTTCTCTTGGTGAAGGGTCTACTTCCTGTTATTGCTAATAATCATAGGAATAAAATCCTTTAAAAGAGCTAAAGCAGATTAATTCATGTAAGGTTTTTGTTTTTTCCTGATTATTGCAGTATTTTGAGGAAGGAATTGGCAATACTGATGCCAGGGCTGGGGTTTCCTCAGGGGAGCAGCTCCCACTCAAGGGCTCTTTCTGCACTGTGCAGTCAGCCCACATTCACCACCTTCCTCACCCTGCAAACCATGAAACCCCTGGGCAGGAGCAATGAAAACACCCCATTTTCCCGCACTGGAAAATGAACGCTCCCACCCCAGGGTGCACGGAGTGGTGGGAAAACCAGCCCCGCCCCACACATCACCCAATGGCATCTTCTCCTCTCCCCTCCGGACAGCACATGGCCTCCTGCTGGCCAACAGGGAGCTGCCGTGTCCCCGGGGGCGTGGAACCAGGGAAGGTGGGAAGTATGAAACCCGGCACTGGTGCTGTGCCGGGTGGGTGGGCAGGAAGGGCAGCCACAACCCCCCCTGCTTCACTGAACAGGCCGCAACAGACCCCTGGCCTTTGGCTGAGGACTGTGCCCCACACCACCCATGCACGTCGCCTACCAACAAGCTTACAAAAGCAGTACCAGGCACAGTGTGTACTAAACCAGCCTTTATTTTTCTCTCTCTGTACTGTGGGACTGAAGTTAAGACCACTCCGTGGCAGTGCCAACCCACTCAGTAGCCTGGGCCGTGGGAGCTGCTGACCAGTCCTCAGTGGCAGGCTGGGCACTCCAGTCCTCTGCAATCACAAAGACAACAACACTTAGTGCAGCCCAGCTCTTCCTACCCATGACAACATACCCTCCCCTCTTCCGACAGACACCCCTCAAACTGACCTGTGGGGAACTGCTGGATGGGCACAGAGGGGACCTGCACTCCCTCAGACCAATCTGCCACCTCCGGCTGAGGAGGAGCAGTGAATTCAGGAGCTGGGGCTGTCCATTCGGCCTGGAACTCCTCCTTTGTGACTGCTTTCTCAGCAGCAGCCTGCTCCTCCTTTTCAATCTGCAATGAAAGAACATAGCCTGAGTCTCCCAGGACACCTTATCACTAACACATACCAGACAACAGGCACCAGCTGGGAACATACAATACAATTAACCAACCACCCTTAAGTATCTAGTGCAATTATTGTATTGGCAAAACCCGTCCTTGACAGCAGGCACACAGGACCACAGGGCAGGAGCTCAAGCAAAACAACTCAGAGAGACACACTTTCTGCCATGGGGCTCCTACCTCCTCAGGATCCCTGTAGAAGTACAGGTCAGGCATGACTTCCCACGGGTGCTCACGGGAAATGGTGCCACGCATGCGCAGTACCTCCCGAGCCAGCATCCACCACATCAGACCCACTGAGTGCGCTCCCTGGAACAGAAGAAAGCAGGTAAGAGTCACTGTGAAGCTAAGCCTCTGAAGAAAAAGCAAAAGACTTATTTGTACCCCAACATAAGGTTCTTGCTTGGTCAAAGACATTCCTTGCCAATGCCCAGACTTACGTACTTAGAGACAGAAAAAAGGGCAGCTTGTCAAGTTCCCAGTGACACTTTCAGGTCTCTGCAGAAATCATGGTGCACATCAGTCACCGGCATTTGAATTTGTTGTATACAACATAGCCTGAAGGAACCCCTCTGTTACAGAGTTCCATACTGCTCACTACCCCATGTGAATCTCATCCAAAAGACAGGGATTATGCTCAGCACATATGCTAGGATGAAGAAATTGAAAACTTGACCAAATACGCAAAGCTTACACACATGCTCAGATCTGGCTTACACTAGCTTTGGTGAATGACATCTAGGTAAGGATCAAACATAGCTTCCCACCCTTCTAGACTTTACCTTTCAAGCAATTTCTGGCAAGGTAATATTTCAGACCCGTTTCTTCATCAGTTCACTTTATTTCATTCATATTCATAATCTGTGGCAAGAATGACTATCAAACTCCACTCATTGGGCCATTGAGACCCTCATGGCGTCAGCGAAAAATCCTGCCAGGTTACTGTAGCACACGTCCTACACTTGAGAGTTCCTTGGCCAGAAACCAGCCTCAGCTCCAAGCTCCAACTGTGTGCAGGGGACGTCCTCCTCCCCACCCACCTGCCAGAGACATTAACTAGCTTGTCCCCCTGCGAGACACACAAGATACAAGCCAACCCTCCCTAGATGAAAGCATGCACCTTGCAGCACAGGGCATGCTCTAGAGGAAGCCACCTGGAATGCTACAGCAAAGCTGCTACCTTATTATTGCAGGGGATGGCGATATCCACATAGCGCAGCGGAGAGTCAGTGTTGCAGAGCGCGATGGTCGGGATGTTGACGTAAGATGCCTCCGTCAGTGGCTGATGGTCAGCACGGGGGTCCGTGACCACCAAGAGTCTTGGCTCACGGAAAGCTGCTTGGATCTGGTTGGTGAAGGTACCGGGGGTGAAACGCCCAGCAATAGGAGTAGCCCCAGTGGCAGCAGCAAACTTCAGGACAGCACGCTGCAAAATGGACCACAGGAAAGGTGAAGCTGAACATAGTGTTTCCACCAGGTCACCCAGGCACAGTCAGTGAACATGGAGGAAATGTGACTGGACTACTGGTTTCAATTCCTGTGGCATCAAGGCTCACCAGCTCTGCACTCAGAAGCAGACAAAATGTTTCTGAAGATAACTATACCAACAACAGGAGTTTAAGAGATTATAACCACCAGCAAAGTGGGAAATCAGGATATGGAAAACCCCTTTTTTCCCCCTCAAGTTGTTTGCAAGATTTACTCCACATTGTGATAACAGAATCAAGAAAGGGGGGATAAACCAAACAGCTTATGAAAAGGGCAAAGCCAATTTTCTTCCGTTACTTCTGCATCCTTTCATTAATCAGCAACATAACTTCAGGAACTACAAGAAAAGCTTAGTAGGAACTACACACAAACTGTAGCTGTGTCCATCAAACTTGCAGTTAGCAGTTCTTGCTCACTTGCAACAGCTTTCAACATCTCAGGCATGTGGCAGGGCCTACTATCAAACTCCAATCATGGAGGGAGCTCCTCTCCTGGTGTTAGCGAAAACCCTGCCATGAGTTTGCTGTCGCACACTTCCGACACTTGAGAGCTCACTGGCCAGAAACTGACCTCAGCATCAAGCTTTAACAGTGTGCATATCAAGCCCGCAGGAACCCAACCTTTTCCTCCATAAATCCACCCCGTGCCACTCACAATCTCCCTGGATATTTGTGGCCCCACCTGCATTAGTCCAAAGAAACTAAGCTCACAAACTCCAGCAGCTAATTGGATTTTATTTACAGGTTGTCGTCACCTTCTGTAACAGAATGTTTGGCTAAAAATCCAAGAGACAAAACTACAAACAGTTGCTATACCTTGCTCAGTAACAGAGAAAAGTGTTTCTTTGAGAACTTTTGTATCAGGTGCTTAATATCCCCAAAAAAACAGTGCCAACGACTCACAGTGTTAATGGGAAGAAGGCGCCACCAAGGGATGGACCATTAACATGCCAGAAACCCAACAGGAACTACCCAAAGGTGCTCGCAAAATAAAAAAAAAACAAGCCATCAAACACCTGAAACTACAGAAATGCGGAGTGGGTTTCAAGTGATCTGTTTTAAGCTGCCAAGTGCAGCACAAGAAACAGGTTCCCAAAAGTGCTCCTAGAGCCAAATTACATTACTGCCTTCTATCACCAAGCTGCCACCAGTAAGGAATGATGCATGGCAAGGGCTCTTGCTCTCAGGATTGCAGGGCTAGTGGTTAACAAACGTCTGTACCTGTCCAGTGTTCCTAGAAGAAATGACGCTCACGTCAGCTGGGTTCTCAATGGCAACAATGGCACGGGCTGCTAGGAGGAGCTTCTCCCAGGTCCTCTTCAGATTGATGATGTAGATACCTGTAGATATTGGTGACAAAAGGCTTTAGAGCAACCACCAAACACAAGATCCTAAAGCAAGACAGCACTGCTGCCACTGCACCTGTCACATGGCTTGGTCACCCCAAAATTCGATTTAGTACAGAGCTGTTTCAAGGAAAATCCCCCCTTATAGTTTTAATGCAGCATGCTTCCAGCATCTAGCAGAAAGAACCTAGGCCTGGCACGAGCTTCAGCCTTTTAAGAGAGAGCAGCTCAGACTGAAGAGCAATGCGAACAAGATGAAATCACTACGGAGAAATTAAGAACATTTTGTTAATAATGGTATTTTCTTGCCATAGACCAGTTTTGTCACTTCTGCCATGCCTGCAGTGAGAGGGGTAGAGGAAATGGCTTTAAGCTGAGACAGAGGAGATTCAGCTTAGATATTAGGAATAAAGTTTTCACTGTTAGGATGGTCAGGCACTGGAATAGGTTGCCCAGGGAGGTGAGGTTGTCACCAACCCTGGAGGTGTTTGAGAAGTGTCTGGACTTGGCACAGGGTGATATGGCTTTGGGGTTACAGTGGTAGTTCTAGGTGCACTGTTGGACTTGATCCTAAAGGTCTCTTCCAAACTTTATGATTCCACGAATATAACCAAGAACTAGAATTGTTCCAATACAGCTGTGACTGATTCACCAAGTTCGTAAATCAGCATTTCTTTCTATTTCTCACAGTTAGGATGGGTTGATCAACGAAGGCTTCTGGCGCCTTTCAGGCCATGGAGAAACCACGCTAGAGCTCAAGTGCTAGCACCTTCCCACTGCCCTCAGCTATGCTCACAAGACCCTGCTGCCCACCCACCCCACGCGCTCTACCATCGCTTTTCCTTTTGTAGATATACTGCTCCATCTGGAAGTCAAGGTTGGTGCCTCCCAGGTGCGTCCCGGCAGCGAGGAACTTGAGGACATCTTCCTCCTTCATCTGCAGGACATCCAAACCTCCGGACATCGTGTGGTTTCCCTTTGGAAGCGACGACAGGGACCCTGCGGGCACAGGCACAGCGCTCAGCGCGCCTCG